TCAAGAAGTACCAAAAAAAATTTGTAAATACCAACCCCGTATTTTAAAGTTCATTATTCGATCAGGAAGTAATAATAGTCTGTGAAAATCATCATTGATTTTTTTTTTTTTTTAAAAAAAATAATTTAATCTCTAGAATAATTATAATTTGCTTATATACAGTTCATAATAATGTTCATTCATTTTTTTCATAATTTCAAAGAAAATAAATGTCTTTGAAGCAAAATGATCAATAACTTGATGAAATGTGCAACAAAAATAATAAACAAAGGGGAATAAAGAATAAAGAGAATGACAATAATGAAATGAAAATAGAGGAAATAATTCCAAATAGGTATAAGATCGTTTTTGTAATTGCTATTATAGATGTTGTAAACACTGAAAGCATAATAGCACCTATAAGCAAAAGAGGTACAATTTTCAATGCCATATCCACATAAATCACTTTATCCAATAAACGTTCTTGATAATAACATTGATAATAAGATAATACCCAATTTACAATCAGTTGACCAAAGAGTGTAAAGACGAACACCTTAAAAGTTAGGGAAGTTGAAAAATATAAAAAAGTAAAAAGACATAAAACAAAAGAACTAGAATAAATTCCCTTATAATCTATATTGTTGATCATTTGCTTCCTTCTAATCTGATAATTTTTGATTGAAACTTGAAAAACTTCATAATCCTCAGCGAAAAAAATCTCTTTCTGAATGATTTTACGTTCGTAAGATCGTTGTGTACTGAGCCAGATGGAAGTGTTCGTCATGCATAAATCACTTCCAAAATATGGGCCTTTATTGCCATTCCAGTAGATGGATTCAATTGGACTATTAACGCGGCTTAATGTTGGATCATTCGGATTTGTAAGAGAAAAAATAAAGCTATTTGATGTATAGCATCGCTGATCTCGATAGGCAATTCTTCCGAAATTGTCACGCTTACTAGTTTTTCCCACGTTCCAATTGATTGGATTATATCCTCCAACTACTTCTCCTGACCCTTGAACCTTAATGACCACGATTGTTGCACCTTTATTATCACAAAGGTTGTGGAATGTGTCAATCCCGAATCCATCACGAGAGCCACGAAGCAGGAGTTTGAATACGAATGGATTTTCTTGATATGCATATGGTTTCCTCCTATAATCTATCCAGCCTGCAACCCTATTAATTTCATTGAAAGAAATTAAATCCGAATCGAGTTTGTCCGACATTCGCGGTGGTAAAACTTGAATTTGACGTTCCGTCGCATAAGGATTAAGATGATAATTTCTGACATTATTTTTAAGTTTCTTTGATAGAATATCTTGAAACGGAGCACTCATAAGATCATTGTAGTGAATGTGAAAAAATCTGATAAAAGGGATGCATTTATGTAACGTCCTTTTAAGTACCAATAAATCATTATTGGTCCATTTAGTTCGATCCTGACTTAACTTTGGGTTACTATTTGCGGCCCCCCAATTGATAACATTCTCCAATATTTTCATCTCTTCCAACTCTAGGTCGTCTTGTTTTAAGACATAAATCAAAGCGGATTCTTCCAATAGAGGAAAATCCATTGATGCGAATAACAAATGAGGTTTCTTACAAACAAGTTCAATTAAATGATTCCGTAGTCTAGTAATATGTTCATACTTACAAACTATGTTGAGAGGATTAATAATATTGAGTTGTAACCATTCGGACTGCATCTCGATCATGTAGGTTTGAATGGTATCTATCAAGCTTTCAAGTATAAATTCATCAGAAGCTGCCAAAATTTCGAGGATAATTTGCGGACTAAACTCATTGAAATTGATACTACCACTATAAATATACCTATAAATATAATCAAATAATCACAAGTTATTCGTAATACCATTTTTCAGCTCAATGCATTGAATAATAAATTTTTTTTT